GCAACCCAGCCACCTCCCTACCGGAGCTGGCCGACTTTGTCTCTGCGGCATTGTTGAGATCCCCGAGGCTCTTGGTCTTGGGTGATTTCAACGTGCATGCGGGGACAGAGGTTTCAGGGCCAGCTTTTGAGTTCCTGGAAACCATGGCTTCCTTGAACATGTCCCAACATGTCATCAGCCCCACCCACGTGGGTGGTGACATGCTAGACCTGTTTTTTCCTCCAATTGGGGTGAGCGTGATCTGATGGTGATGGACCTAGTGTCAGTCCGCTTGTCATGGTCAGATCACCACCTGATAAAATGTAACCTCACAGTGGCTCTCCCCCCTCGCAGGTACAGGGAACTATTTCTATGGTCTGCCCTCGAAGACTACTGGATCCAGTTGGATTCCAGGATGCCATGAGAGGGATTACGGCTGACCTGGCTAGCGCTCCTGTCGACGTCCTGGTTGACAGCTGGTCCACCGCTGCCACCAGGGCCATAGACGCGATCGTGCCCAAACATCCTCTCCGGCGCAGAACTCGCCCGGCGCCCTGGTTTAACCAGGAGCTTCAAGCGATGAAACGAACTAGGAGAAGGCTAGAGCGTAGATGGAGGAAGAATCCGACGGATTACAATTGGATAGCTGTCAGGATCGCAACTGACCTTTACCTGTCTAAGGTAAAGGCTGCTTGTCGAACTTACTTCGCTAACCAGATAAGCGAAGCATCCAACCAGCAGGCAGTTATTCCGTATAGTGCGCGACCTATCCAGAACTGGTTCAGGAGATAGGCCTCCCCCTAATTTTTCACCTGACCAGTTTGCAGCCTTTTTAAAATCTAAAGTGGAGGCCATCTGCCGGGAGCTCTCTCCTTTTTTAAATGCAGTGAGTCGAGTTGAGCGCTCCGTCTTGCCTGGTGACCTTCGACTCTTTTCAGCCTGTAACGCCTGACTCTGTGACCGGGGTCCTTGATCGCTGTCGAGCCACCTCCTCCTCCCTAGACCCTTGCCCAGCCTGGCTAATCAAAGCAGCCAGGCCGGTAACAACAGAATGGGCCACTGCAATAATAATCATTAGGCCCATAAGAAAGAAACCTAGTTTGGCGGCGCCTTTTTCCATCTTTGGCGGATTGCCCAGCTGCGACCCTACCTTGACATGGGTGCGCTCACCACCTTGGTACATGCACTCATAATCTCAAGATTACACCACTGAAACGTGCTCTACGTGGGGCTGCCTTTGAGGCTGATGTGGAAACTTCAGGTGGCGCAGAATGCTGCGGCCAGACTCCTTACCGAAGTGAGAAAACACCATCATATTTCTCCAACACTGGCCGCATTGCATTGGCTGCCCATCTGTTTCCACGTCAACTTCAAAGTTTTAATGCTTACTTCTAAGGCCCTAAACGATTTGGGACCTCGATACTTGGCAGAGCACCTACTCCCACCAAGGTCTACCCGGATCACCCATGCAAGCCAGGAGGTGAGGCTGAGGAGCCTGACGCCGAGAGAGGCCCGGATGGAGAAGACACGAAACCGGGCCTTCTCGGCGATGGCTCCTCGCCTTTGGAACAATCTCCCTCCGGAGATTCGCACGGCCCCTACACTGGCCATCTTTAAAATCCAACTAAAAACATGGTTCTTCACTCAGGCCTTCCCTCCAGTCAACTCTTGATTTTCTTCTTATTTTTCTCCTTAAATTTTTTCTATTTTTATTTTATTGTACTTGTTTTGTATTATTTCTGCACCTGCTGTGTTTATTGTTTAAATTTTATGTTGGAAGCCACCTAGAGTGGTCAATTGGTCCAGATAGGCGGGGTACAAATCAAATAAATAAATAGATTATGGGAAGATCACCCATCACACTTGGGTTGAATTGTCTCCTCTAAAATGAAAACTGTACCAAAGGCCAGTTTTAATTCTTTTTTTTATCCTCCCCAATCACTGTTGTGAATTTTCCAGAAAATTGGAAAGGAATTTCTTAATGTTTATTAAAGAAAAAAAATACTTGAATTAAAGGATTGGTTAGGAAAAATGAACACCAAGGGAAGGGGGGAAGGACAGTGTTAGAAAAGGAACAGTTAACGTGGATGATTGCGATGCAGCTCGATTATTGGACTGGAAATCGGGTAAAGAGTAGCGAGTGGGCAATGCAGAGAACTGATAAAGTCTGCAGAGATTATCCTTCCGTGGAAGGAGAGAAAGGACAGGTCCATGAACGGGATGGGATGTAGAATTTATAAGATGCTCTTATCGGTAGAGAATCATGAGGCATTTCAGAAAACAGGATTAGAAGCAGAGATGGCCAGGGAAATAGGTACTGAGTTAATAGACTCTTAGAACTGCAGAGCTAGAAGGGAAGCGAACACCCAACCTCTGGCTCCAGAGTGAGAGACCTAAACCAAGACGTGTGAGAGGGGGAAAAGTATTTGATAAACCACATTGGTCAGAATAAAAACCCAAAATTTATACATTGAAATGGAGAAGGTATTTGACCCCAGAGAAATTAAATATTATGAATTCTGAATGCTGCACATTCTCTTGCAGATGGGGTCACGTTATTGGTCCTTGCCTCCTGCCATCAAGGGCAGGATAAGAAGACCTAATGAGTTCAGCTGTGGGGAGAGAAGAAACCAGGGCCCCAGATCCTGCCTCTCGCGTCCTTTGAGGAAGAGGTTTCGCAACCCCGAAACAAAAAACCAGCATGCATTGAGGAAGAGAGCAATGGGTTGGGGGCTATCCCGTGTTTTGCACCGAGGGTCCTCTGCACGACTACCTGCCTCCTGGGCAAAAGTGTCATGGGTGTGTCCTCGTTGCAAGGAGCTATCTAGATATAATATGGATACAGAAGCCATCATCGAAACCTGGTGGGATTCAAAGAGCCAGTGGGATTCGGCCATCCCAGGTTATCAAGGAGGGATAGGGAGGGGCATCTGGGAGGCGGGGTGGCCATCTAGGTCAAAGAAGGGGTAGAATCCATAAGAATGGAGAAGGATGGTAAGTTTCAGTCCATCATAGATTCACTGTGGGTTAAACTGCCAGACCCAAGGAATGATGTGATG